ATCGTCCGCTTTTACCTTACCATCCTTGTTGAGATATCCCTAACAGCATCACCTGTAGTTGCATTGCAAATTATCACAATCTGTTAGAGGCGTTGCAATGGATTTTAGAAAATATTCCTGAATTTAGAGATGAAATTGTTGATGTTAGTGATGATTATAATGCTCTTCAGTTTGCAATGTACCAGGATAATATTGAAGCGGCTATATGTATTTTAGAAAATGCTTATGTATATAGAGATGTTACAATAAAAATTAATGAAGAGCTAAATATTCTTGGATACACAATTCGACATAACCAATTAGAAGCATTACAGTGGATTTTAGAAAACATTTCTCAATTTAGCGATGAAGTTGTTGACGTATGTGAAAATAAAAATGCTCTTCAATATGCAATAAGTAGAAATAATCCCAGAGCCATTAAATGCCTTATAGAATATTCTCAAATATATAGAGATTTAGCAATAGTAGATGAAGAGCTAAATATACTTGACTGGGCTATTAAGAATAATAGACATGAGATAATCAAATATCTTTCAACATTTATTTTACAATACTGTGATAACAATACATATTAGCTTTTAATATAGATTATTGAGACAAAAAATGCAAAATAAAGCTTCAAATCTAAAAGTTTTAAAATATTTGGCTTTTGGTTTAGGTAGTTATAATTTAGATTTAAATCCAAAATTAAAATTAATACTAAAATTTTAGTTCAAAATATGGTAGCTAAAAAAATAAAAAGCTAACAAAATTAATAAAAGAATAAAACTTGCTTTTTTGTGAATTTATAAATTAATTTTAAAAATAATGGCAATTTATAAAATTTATTATTACAGTCAAATCTCTCTATAGTCTCTCCCTCGTGGTACAAAAATTGGTAATTATATAGAGGTGTAACTAATATAGAGTGTACTCTATATAGTTATAGCTATATTAAAAACAAAAGCTTGTGATTATAGATGTTTTATTATATTTTTTCGCCTATGCGATGGATCGCCACTTATAAGATCATGTGTAATGTAAAATCAAAACAATAAATAATAATGCGTTAATTTAAGGTTGGAGTTAGTATTAAACTAAGATTAGATGTGGCTAGTGTTGGCAGGCGAAACTATTTTTGGCAAATGGCGAAAGACGAAACTAAACCGGCGAAAGACGAAACCTGGCGAA